CCCCCCCCAAAAAAAAAAAAAAAACCAACCCCCAACTATAAAACCAAAATAAGAAGAAAGCATAAAAAAAGATGGAGCTTTCCTGTGCCTTGCATTTTCTTACATGTCTTGATGGGGATATCTACAGTAATTGTGTGTTTCTTTGATGGTCTGGATAGTTTGAAAAAATTATCAATATACATTGTACAGTCAATTACTATCTCTTTTATCCTGCCTGAGATGAACTGAATATCCTTGCACTGGAAAAGATGCCTCTGAATCAAATAGGTTTATAACTTTGTGTTTCCACGATTGCTTCTTATTATGTTGGGTATCCTAACCAGCTTCTGTATATCGCAAGATGTTCTATCTTAATTTGATGATAACCTTTATATCTTTGTGGTTGCCAGTATTGTGCCATGGGTCTCGGCTGGGTTGGGTTAGATTTTCGCAGCCTGCTTCCACCTCTATTTGAAGAGTAAATTAACATTCAACATTCCTTTAATTATTCCCTTGTTTTGAAATAACTCTCACTATACATGTCTTTGGATGATAACAGAGCAGTCCTTAATTTATTCTCCAAGAATATGAGTGTAGCTGTTGAGAATTTTCAGGTAAACCAATGACAAAAATATTATTTCACAAGTATAATGTTCTTATGTTATTCGTCTGCCTGCAATAATCCATTTTGTAATATGTTTGTCTTAATCCATTCCAGGTAGTGTTGGATTCTCATCGTTGGGTTCCATTACCAGCAGTTGGCTTTCCAGCCAATAGTTTTGGTGAAGAAAATCAGGATGATGTTACACCTCCTCCTAATCTTATGGAGCATCCCCCTCTTGCTGTTTTTATAAATGGTAAGATTCTCTAAAGTTTGGTCAACCTCTTTGTAGACTTTTGAGTAAATTATGGTTGTTACCTAAATATGGTAGTCTTATTTAGGAAGTGTTTTATGCGTTCTCTGTGTCATAACTAATGATTGGTGTTAATTGCACTTGCTGTCTGGTGGTGGCAGGTGTATCAGCAGCGATGAATGAACTACGTCCTTGTGCTCCATTAAGTTTGAAAAACGTGCTTGCTCAAGAGTTAGTTAAAGGACTGCAGGCTGTTTCTGATTCTTTATTGAGATACAAAACAACTAGGATGCTCAGAGACAATGAATCTTCTCTTTTCCTTAAGCTTTGCCAAGCATTTATCGAAGTGAGTTTATTATTACTATGTCCATCTTTTAGCTTTAACATTGGCCGTGCTTAAAAGCAAGTCAAACTTACTTTTTCGCTAATCATGATTGTTGAAGTTATTTCTTTTTCTAACAAAACCTTCTGTAGAAAGTAAAAAATAAAATTTAAGCACAACCAGACATTCTTTTTTTATTTAAACAACAAATTAAATTTCTGTGCGAATTCTTTTCAGGTTGCTTTTCCACATTGCGTCACCTGCTTTGGTCGCTGTTACCCTGGCGGGGCTGCTCTGATTGCAGATGCTAAGAATTTGTTTGATGGGATCAATCGTTTATTGGCAACCTCTCCCTCAAGAGCACTACCAAAACAAGTACATAATGTGGACTCCAAGAGCATGCCAGAGAACGGGAATCTGCCTGTGCCGGAAAATGGGGATGTACATTCCGATGAACAAGCAGAACGTGATAACGAAAAGGAACAAGAACAAAATAACATCAGACCACAAAGGAGAAGCTCAGTAACGAATGAAGATAATTTGGATCCACATCATCAAGAAGTGCAGATATAGTATAGTATCAGTGAAACTCCTCCATCCAATTTGATCATTGTAATTATTATGGCTAAAGGTGTTGTGTTCTTTGTTGTTCTTGCTCGTTTTTGTGGTCATTTTACCTGCGATAGTGATAATTTGACGTTTAGAACTTGTGCAGAGGAGATGAGCTTCTTCGTGTAATCAAGAGAATTATTTTGTTTGAAGGTGACTATGGAATTAGAATTTCTAATCTACGTCTGGTGCATAGTACTTCTGTTGTTTTACTTGAAGAATTTTGATTCCCTAAATCCTCTAAAATGAAACTGCCGTGGACAGTGAACCTAAATGACCCTACTTCGATTATGGATATTTTTGCAGCGGAAGTTGAGTGTGATTGATTGGTTTTATTTTTCATGAAAAATGTCATTTTATCACTTAGCGCCTGTCTGGAAATGCTTAATAGTAAAATTTCTATCGTTGGACAGCCATTTTCCTACCGTTGGCCACCATTTCCAACAATTTTTGGCCATTTTTCTTGACCAAATCTCTCATATGTGGGCCCCAGTTGACCAGTGGTCAAAATTTTGGTTTTGAAAATTTCCTCCAAACAGGCACTTAAATTCTTACTTTTAAAGTGTTTAATTGACAATTTTTTTCATAAAAAATAATTTTCAACTTTTAGCCCCCGCTTGACACCCATTTTTGACGAAAAAGAAATTTTGGAGTAGTGATTGATGAAAGAATGTGTAGTTAAAAAGTAATGAGAATTTTTGGGTTTATGTGTAGTATTATTTTATTGATAGAACGTGTTGATGAAATGAAGAAAGAGAAGAAAAATGAGAATGAGAAAAAATGGGTGTCAAACAGGGGCTTAATCACATGATCATATTTTTCTCAAAAATAGGGAAAATATTTTCTTTAGAGAGAGGAAGTTTTTATTTTTCAGGTAAATCATTCTCTTTTTCTCTCTCCCATCTATTATCTCTCTCATTTATCTACCAATAAAAAATGGACATGTATAAAATTTTCTAAGTTGAAAATTAAATTATTCAAACGCATTTAATTAATAATTTACATGTAAATAAATTATGGGTTGTTCTATTCTCTATAATTTATTTTATTTTCATGCAAATTTTATACTCGCAATCAAACGCACCTCACTGATGGTAAAAACAGAAAGAAATTCGAGTGACCAAGTTGGAACCATAACATTTGGGTGACTAAAATGATTGATGTCTTCTTCTAACCCCATCTTAGAAGAAAATGTATGCCTGAATTGCAAGCCTCTGCGATGGAATTAGAAGAATATTTTAGTTTACTGTTGGTGGATCATGGTTTGTTGATGATGAGGAGCAATTGATTGCAATACATTTAGCCCGTCTCGTTTAGTTAAAAATTGATAGAACGTGTAATTGAAAAATTGATAAAAATTGTGAATCTCATAAAATGTGTGATTGAAAATAAGTATGAAGAAAAATAAATTTTAGAAAATGAGGAAAGAGCATTTTTTTTTTTTTTTTGCCAAGCTTGTAATATGCTCATTGGAAGGAAACTGAAGTTGGCCGAGCAGCAGACAATATTTACTATTTAGATAGCCTGAAATTCACATTTTCTGGAAGAAAAATATTATATTTTCAGGAACAATAATCCTTGAGAATTTTTTTTGTTCTCAAGGTCAAACAAGCTTTAGGTTACATGAAATTTTAGAATTAAAAAAAAAAAAAAAGAAAAGAAATGGAGAATGAATTTATCCCTACATATTGGCTTATTGCATAGTACGGGATAAGATTAAAAAGGAAAAATTGTGCATTTAAAAGTATGTCATTTTAATCTAGAACTACATGCTCTAAGGTCATGCGGATAGTGTTCTCCGATTTTTCATTCAAAAGTATGTCATTTTACTTTTTTAATCCAGATTAAATTTACCCTCAACCAAGTATCTAAAAGGTGTAAGACGTGAAGGCGTGGAGGTCAAGTTTCAAGCATTTCGAGCCTAGATATGCCTAATCATAATAAAGATTTTTTTTTATTTTTAATATTATTTTAATTATTCTAATGAACAAGTAATTATAATAACTCATGCCTTGGAAACTTGTAGGAACTTCATTAATATTTTTTACGTTTTCAACAAAAATGTATCTCTCAAAATTATAAATACTCAAAATCAATAATATTTTGTACGGAAAAGTAAGTTCGTGGGTAGGTTTTATCAATTTAATTAAAGGTAGTCGGGGCGGACCCAGCACCTGGCCAACTCCTGCGGCTGCCTGTGCTGGGTCCGTGGGGACCTTGAAGTCCACCGGGAAGAATTGCAGAGCCGGCGATGAAGATGATCAGCCAAAAAAAATTTTTATTTTTTTCCTTTGTAACTTTGTTTTGAGCTTGGGTCTTTCATTTTTAAACAAATCTAAAATCAAAATCTCAAATTCCCAATTGATTCAATCATTTAGACCCAACTAGCAATTACCCAAACGAAAAGAGAGAAGAGGTGAGGCGGGAGAGACAACGACGAAGGCTCAAAGCAGACGAAGCTTATTTGTGGGCTGTGGCTGCACCACCAGTTGCAGGCTTCCAACAGACCAGCACCGCATGTCCGCACGGGCCACGGCTGAGGCAGTAAGGAGGGCAGCAGCTTGGAAGCTTCTTTGCACCAGCACTGACACGGCAGCACGCAGAGACGCAAGCAGCCAGCAGCTTATCAGTTCTCTAAGTTCTCTCGGTTTCGGTCAGTCCTCTTCTCTACTCTCTAGTGTCTTTATGATTTGTTTTTTATGGTTAATTTGTTTGTTAATTTAGTTAATCCAGGTTTGACTTTTAAGTTTTTGTTCTTTTGTTTTTGTTTATATAATATGATTATATGAAATTATGAATGTGTAATTTTAAATTATAATGTGTTTGTGATTTGTGAATCTAAGAATATTGCGCCTGCAGCCTAGCCAGGGATTTCAGATTTGTGATTTGTGAATCTAAGA